AATCCCAAAACTCTCGCGTGTCCTGTCATTGACGTCATAGATCAGGACACCTTGGATTACCGAGCGACAGGGACAGTGCTCAAAGGAGGTAAGGTCAGCTAAGGTCACGAGGTCAAGGCTGGGTCACGGGAGATGAGTATAAAGGAGGGAGAGTTAGATGAATGAGACCATCAAGAAAAGAAGAAAAAGAAGAAGAAGAAAAACAATGATACATGATAGAAAATAAATGAAAAAAGGAACGAAAAAGGTATGGAGGTCAATGTAGGTTATTTTGGTTGATGTAGAATTATTCAACCGTGGTTTGTGTATGTTGGGTGGGTGGGGATGGGGGGTGGGGAGAGAGGAGATAAGGGAGGAAGGCAGGGGGGGAGGGAGGGAGGAGGGAGAGAGAGAGAGAAGAAAGAAGGGAGAGTAGAGAAAGAGAGAAACAGAAAGACAGAGAGAGAGACAGAAAGAGTAGGAGAGAGAGAGCGAGCATATGATAGATAGATAAATCCAGACAGACAGATAGAGACAGCAGATGTTAGCGGAAGAAAGAATATCGGTAACATGTTCGCAGTATTTTACTGAAACTTTTTAAAGCGTTTCATAAAGTAACTGCAGCGAAAAATGGAGAAAAGTGGAAGCACCAAACATGACGCAACAATTTTGACGATAATGTCATAAAAGTAATATTTCTAAAATTAAAACATTGCTTCCAAATGATTGTGAATGATGCCGTAAAACTTGAAGAAGTAATTGTGTGTGTGTATATATATGTATATATATATATATATATTATATAATTATATATTATTATATATATTATTATATATATATTATTATTTATTTATTATTTATATTTATTTATATTTATTTTATATTTATATTTATATTTATATTATTATATATATATATATATATATATATATATATATATATATATATATGTATATGTATATGTATATGTATATCACACACACACACACACAACACAACACACACACACACACACACACACACACACACAACACACACACCACACACACACACACACACACACACACACACACACACACACGTACACACACACACACACACACCACACGTCACACCACAACACACACGTACACAACACGTACACACACACACACACACACACACACACACACACACACACACACACACACACACACACACCACACACACACACACACACACCACACACACACACACACACACACACACACACACACACACACACACACAACACGTACACACACACACACACACACGTACACACACACACACACACACGTACACACACACCACACACACACACACACACACACACACACACACACGTACACACACACGTACACACACACACACGTACACACACACACACACACACACACACACACACACACACACACACACACACACACACACACACACACACACACACACACACACAACACACACACACACACACACACACACACGTACACACACACACACACACCACACACACACACGTTACACACACGCACACACACACACACACGCAACACACACATACACACGCACACACACCACACACACACATATATATAATATATATATATATATATATATATATATATATATATATTTATATATAATATATCGAAATATGAATATATATATTTGTGTGTCTATTCACTGTGACTTGCATCTCGAAAGGTTTCTAGGCTGCAAGTTGGTGAAAAGAAGGTCATAGACAGATAGAAATACAACACTAGAGTAAAGATAAGGGAGAGTAACGTAGGAGATCACACCCTCCTTAGAAAGCATCCAATATACAGAGAATTCAGAGGCCAGGGAGCATGCCAGGAAGAAGTCGTGGATTTCGAAAGAGTGGTGTAGAAAGATTTTTTTTTTTTTTTTTTTTTTTTTTTTTTTTTTTTTTTTTTTTGTATTATTCAGATCACCTAATGTAGTTGTTTTAGCTAAGAGACAGCACATAACGATAGGAGGATTACTTGAGGCAGTTTAGAGAGAAAGAGAGAGGGAGAAGGAGAGCGAGGGGGAAGAAAGAGAGAGAGAGAGAGAGAAGGAGAAGAAGAAGAAGAAGAAAAGAGAGAGAGAAAGAGAGAGAGAGAGAGAGAAAGTTATTGATAAAACGAGCGAAATGAAACGTGGGAAGGGAGAAAGAAATCCAAATATAGGCTGAGAAGTGTTTCCAGGGAACAGTTCTATATGTGTGCGGCCATAACTCACGGAAGAGCTGAGTTTGCAGGGTTGAAGGAAGACCTTGCAGCGTTCCGAGAAAAGGAATATTGCAATAACGTTGTCAAAAGGTTGTTCCTCGGTCAATAAAGAATAAAGAGAGAAATTTTTAAAAAGTTGTTCCCCGCTTGATAAGAGAATAAATAGATTAAAATGTTAAAAGTTGTTCTTTGGCTTATAGCATTTTGGAAATGAATTTAGCAGTTGGGGGGAAAGAATATGATTTAAAAGGTTGATACCCGGTTAATATTTTGAAAAATGAATATAAAAGTTATAGAAAGGAAGAAAGAGAGGTAGGAGGAAATGTTTTGTTATTGTGTTTTATCATGGATTTACTCTGTTATGGCGTATAAATAGATTGTTGTGTGGATAGTTCATAAACATCTTTTTCAAAGAGAGATACAGGAAGGTAGACTTTAGAAAAAAGAAAAGAAAAAGGAAGTGGAAAATTGAAAAAGTATTGTTTGATGATAATAAAAAGTCATATGTCGGGATTAAGACATAAGAGTCGTTTTACTGCATGCACTTGGTCTGTAATAAGGAAGATTTTGGGCTTTGGCGAAACGGTGGGGCATGTATTGCGCTGATGTCAGAAGGAAAGGTTAGATGGTTTTTATTTCCTGAAATGATTTGTTTATGATTATTTCTATTTTTCCAAGATTTTTTTTTTTTTTTTTTTTATGCTGGTGATAGTAAGTCTTGGGATAATTTTTGTGTGATGTTTAGTATTAAAGAAATATTGATTGTCGATACCTTAGATGTATGCACCCATGTGCGCAGGCGCGCACGCACACGCACACGCACGCTTTCGTCTCGCATTTTATACCTTTCTTCCCCTACATTAATTTTTTTTTTACTCGTATTTCCTGTCACTGATTCACGCCTTTCCCTCCAAAGGATTCGACTGGGGCCTTCACTTCCGCTGGGTTCCCTTGACGCAGGAGGAAAAGGACAGCCGAGGGGACCCTACGTCCACTTACAGGTGAGGGAAGGAGGGGGAGGGGGTGGTAGGGGAGGGAAGGAGGAGGGGAAGGGGAGGGAGGGAGGGGAGGGAGGGGAAGGGAGGGGGGTGAAGGGGAGATGGGGGAAGGGATGGGTGAGGGGGTTTTAGGAGGTTGAGATAGAGAGAGATATAGAGAGAGAGAGACACAGAGACAGAGGGAAGAGGCAGAGAGGGGGGAGTGAGGGGATGGATAGATAGAGGGGAAGAAATAAGAGGCAGAATTAGAGAATTAAAGATGAGAAAAGGGAAGGAAATGAGGGGCTGAGGCTAGGGGAAAGTAGGGGGGGGTAAAGAAAAGAAAAAGAAAGAGGTGGGGAGCGATAGACAGACAGAGAGAGAGAGAGAATTCAAACAAAACAAGTAAACGCACTAATAAACTACCCTTCCCCTCTTTTCCTCCCCTCTACCCCCTTCCCCCTTCCCCCAACAGGACCCCCGTGATCGCCGGCGGCCTCTTCCTCATCGCCAGGGACTGGTGGGAGCAGCTCGGCAAGTATGACCCCGGCCTCGACGTGTGGGGCGCCGAGAACCTGGGTGAGTATGGGGAAGGGAGGGGAGGGAAAGTGGGGATATTTCTGGAGGGGAGAGGGGAAGGGGGAGGGAAAGAGGGGCATTCTGGAGGGGAGGGGAGGGGAAGGAGGGGAAAGAAGGGGGAGGGAAGAGGGGGGGGGGAGGGAAGAGGAGGGGGAGGGGAAAGGGAAAAGAGGGATATTCTGGAGGGGAGTGGGAGAAGGATATGGGGGAAGGGAAGGGAGGAGGGAGGGGGAGAGGGAAGAAGGGGATATTCTGGAGGGGAGAGGGGAAGGAGGGGAGAAGTCGAAGGGGGGGAGGGGAGAGTCGGGGAAGTATGGTTTGTGGGGCGCCGAAACCTGGTGAGTATGGGGAGAAGGGGGGAGAAGGGGGAGGATGGAGATGTTCTTGAGGGGGAAATGAAGGGAGGGGAAAAGTGGGGGTATTCTGGAGGGAAAGGGGGGAAGGGGGAAGAGGGAGGGAGAAAAGGAGGGGAGAGTGGGGAAGTATCACCCTGGCCTTGACATATGGGGCGCGGATAACATGGTTGAGTATGGGGAAGAGGGGGAAAGGGAGGGAGGAGAAAAGAGGGGATATTCTGGAGGGAAGAGGGGAAGGGAGGGGAGAGTAGGGAAAATATAACCCTGGCCTCGACGTGTGGGGCGCGGAGAACCCGGATAAGGATGTGGAAGGGAGTTGGGGGATAAGGAGGGGGAGGGGAGAAAGAAGGAGATATTCTGGAGAGGGAAGGAAAAGAGGGGGTATTCTGGAGGGGAGAGGGGAAGGGAGGGAGGGAGAAGAGTGGTGGGTGAGGGGAGGGGGGGTGTATTAGGGGAGATGGGAATAGGGAGGGAAGACGTGGAGAGGGGAGGGAAGGGAGGGGAAGGGGGATTGGGAGAGAGGGCAAGGAAAGTGGGGGGCAGGAAAGAAATAGCAGGACGAGGATGGTAAGGGAGGGGAGGAGAAGAGGGAGACGTGGAATATTGGGAGAGGGAAGGGAAGGGAGATTGGGGAGAGGGAAGGGAGGGAGGTTGGGGGAGAGGGGAAGGGGAAAAGGTGTGAGAGGGGAGAGCTGAATGTGAGAAAAGGAAGACAGGAAAATAAGGAGGAGAAAATGGTAAAAGGGGGGAGAGGGTGGAAGAGGAAGAGATGGGAAGGGAAGGGAGATTGGGGAGAGAGACAGAGAAATGAGTAGAGAAACAGTGAGACAGAGAGATATGAATAGAGAGACAGACAGAAAGACCAAAAAAAAGAGAGAGAGAGAGAGAGAAGAGAGAGCTAACCTCCAGTTAAGACGACGCTCAGGTCCCAACATGGCAACCGAACTAGATCATCCACGAGGCACGAGCCAACAACACGGACCTGCGTCGATGTTGCTCGGAATAATGCAATAGCCATATGACATTATTTGAACTCTTCCGGTGCTCCTCTGACCTTATCTGAACCCTTCCCTTGCTCGTCTGACCTTATTTGAACCCTTCCCTTGCTCTGACCTTATCTGAACCCCTTTCCGCGGCCTTCGATCTTCTGAAGCGCTTTTGTGACCTTATATCGTCCGATGAGCTTTTTTTTTTTTTTTTTTTTTTTTTTTTACCTTGGTCTCTTCAAAATTGACTTTTTAACTCTCTTGGTCTTCAAATTTGGCTTTTTGACCTTTTTTTTTGGGGGGGGTCAAATTTGCCCTTTTGACCTCTCCACGCTTGACCTTTGGCCCTTTTTTATATCTTCACACTTTGTGATCTCTTGACCTCTTCATATTTGGCTTTTTGACCTCTCTTGACTTTTTTTCACTATTGACTTCTTTTTTTTTTGTGTGGGGGGGGAGGGTTTCTTCATACTAGACCGTTTGATACCTCTTGCCCTTATCCCATCCGACCTTGCTCGACTTTCTGACCTCGTCTGACCTCTCCACACTCGTGCTTTTGACCTTACACCCCGTTCTCCCCACAGAGATGTCCTTCAAGGCCTGGCAGTGCGGAGGAGGCGTCGAGGTGGTGCCGTGTAGTCGCGTGGGGCACATTTTCCGCAAACGCCATCCCTATTCGTTTCCGGAGGGCAATGCCAACACGTATTTGAGGTCAGTGCTTGTTTAAGGTCGGTTGTTTCTATTCTTGAGGTCAGGATTTGTTCAAGGTCGGTTGTTTCTATTCTTAAGGTCAGGGTTTGTTTAAGGTCGGTTTTTATTCCTTTTCATAAAGTCAGTACTTGTTTAAGGTTGTTTTCTTAAGGTCAGTACTTGTTTAAGTTGTTTTTAAGGTCAGTACTTGTTTAAGCTCGTTTTTCCAGGTCAGTTCTTGTTTAAAGTTGAATTTTCATTGCCTTAAGGTCAGTACTTGTTTTACGTTGTTTTTTTTTTTCATTGCGTTAAGGTCAGTACTTGTTTCTGTTTTTTTCCATTTTCTTAAGTTCAGGACTTATTTCAGGTGAGTTCTCCCCTTTTGAAAGTCGGTGCTTATTTACAGTTATTTATTTAGTTGCTTTTTAAGGTCAGTACTTGTTTGAGGGCGGTTTTTCCTTCTCTTAAGGTCAGGACTTATTTAAGGTGATGCCTACCCTATGTAAAGTCGGTGCTTATTTAAGGTTTGTTACTTTCCCTTTTTTAAGGTCATTGTCTTCTTTTTTAATCAGAGTACTTATATAAGGTCAGTTTTCTTTTTTTTAAGGTGCTGAAGGTACCTCAGTTGTGAGTTTGAGATGATTTTAAATGATTTTTGTGTTTTTTTGATGATTTGGTTGTTTGGTGGAAAGTTTTGGACAGATAGTTAATTGTTATAGAAATATGCTTGGGGGAAAATAGAGGAAAAAATCATGCTTGGACATATATGAAATTCAGAAATTAGGCAAATAAAGTTATTCTATTCAATTCGATTTAAAGAAAAGTGAAATTAAAAGATAAATTACAAAATAATAAAGTATACCAGACAATCACACAATAATCCTGTTTCCCCCCACATACGAACATCTGCAATAACCATTAATTAACACAAAAATCACACTTAGAATAGCCCACGATTGATAAAAAGAAAACGAGAAAATAAAAAACACGCCATGGGATTCTCGAAATTATCGTAGGATTTTTCGTCACACCAAAAATACCCTACAAATGATTAAAAAGGAGAAAAACAAACAAACAAACACACACGCCATGGGATTCTCGAAATGAACGTAGTATTTTTCGTCATACCAAAAATATCCCACAAATGATAGGGAGAGAGGGAGGGATGAGATAGAACGAGAGAACGAAGAGAACGAGAGAGAGAACGAGAGAACGAGAGAACGAGAGAACGAGAGAACGAGAGAACGAGAGAACGAGAGAACGAGAACGAGAGAGAACGAGAGAGAGAGAGAGAGAGAGAGAGAGAGAGAGAAGAGAGAGAGAGAGAGAGAGAGAGACAGAGAGAGAGAGAGAGAGAGAGGAGAAGAGAGAGAGAAGAGAGAGAGAGAGCGAAGAGAAAAGAAAAATACACGCCATGGGATTTTTCGAAATTAACGTAGGATTTTTCGTCCTAAAATATCCCACAAATGATAAATAGAGAAGGAGAAAAACAAAACAAAACAAAAAACACGCTATGGGATTCTCGAATTTAACGTAGGATTTTTCGTCCTGAAATATCCCACAAAAGATAGATAGAGAAGGAGAAAAACAAACAAACACACACACGCTATGGGATTCTCGAAATTAACGTAGGATTTTTCGTCATACCAAAGTATTCCACAAATGAGAGAGAGAGAGAGAG